TTAAGATTTGACGTGCTGGTCACAACACGTCGATCCAAGCCTTGACGGGTCCGCCAAGTCTCCGAGAGAACTCCACGCTCATTTTGCAATGAGCGCGCCTCTGCGAACACCAGCGTCTTCGCTAGTGTCCGCGTCGACCATAGTGTCCGCGTCGACCGTAGTGTCCGCGTCGACCGTAGTGTCGACGTCAGCACCCGTGCCAGCATCCGCGTCAATTTCAGTGTCGACGCCTGCGGCTGATCTCGCGTCCGCACCGACATCCGCGTCGGTGCATGCTTCCTTGCCCGTGTCGGCGGCGACGCGACACCCCTAAGTGGCACGACAGAGAAGAACTTCTCTGTCGACAAGTACTTCGAACTCCAAGAGAAGAAGCTCGCACTCGAGGCGAAGAAGCGCGCTGGGGCCGCGAAGACAGACAGTCCTAAGACTGTATTCGATGGTTCGTCGGTCCTCTCGACCGACGGTGGTATCCCCGTGGACTACGGGGAGGGAGAGCTTGAAGACGAGGGTACCTCGTCTTCCCCGTCATATGACTCCACGCCTGCGGCTGGGACTCGCCGGCCCCGTGAAGAAGATTTGGACGCTTCATCTTCGAAGCGTCCGCGAAGCGTTAGTGATGCAGTGTCTTCCACTTGCCATCACCTCGGATCCACCTGTTGTCCTGCCGGAACAACGTGATGCCCCGCGCACGGACGACTCAGTGCGCGAACCGTGGATGCCGTCTGAGAGTGTTATCACAGCACGGTACGGGCGCACGGTTCCTCCGAACGTGGTACCGTTGTATGTCGACAACAGAATTGTCGACGACGCTGAAGCTGCCTCAAAGCACTTTGAGCCGATGACGAATCAAAGGCGAGACTATTATATCTCGCTTTTTCACGAGCTCCGGTACTGGAGCTCGAAGAAGACTTCGGGGCGAACCAGAGTGCCCGAGTGGCAGGCACTCTGTCAAAGCTGGAACCAGTTTATTGAAACTTCAACAAAGACTCGACAGCTTATCGCGATCGAGTCGCTTCAGCTCGCGAGCACTTCATGAAGGACTCCGTTACTTCTGTAGTCCAACGCGTTCACGAAGGTTCGGCGAACGCGAGTATTCCTTGTGCAGTACCAGTGGGCATTCATTGTCCGCACTGTCCTCCTGGTGCTCCCCGCATCAGCGAGAGAGACCTTGCCAGGTACACGACCAACCGTGTACCTGCAAACGCTAAGGAGCTACGTGCTAAACTCGCTTGCACGTGTCAGCATCCTAGTGTTGTGCCTGAGCACAACACTCCGCGAAACACTGCGCCCCACAGTGTTACGCCTCCGGTCCATGGCGGGCTTCGTACGCCCTCACCATTTCCGGAACGTCCGTCATCAGGACGTTTCGGGGGAAACCACGTATCTCGAAGGACAGCCGATTGTCTCCAACGAATATGCAAACGAGCCGGACCTGGCTTCGTCTTCGGATTGGTATGATCAACAATCCGATCCACCTCGTGGTGGATCGTACCGCGGACAGAGTTGTGCTTCTGTCGGCGGTGGTGGACCCTCATCATATGGTCAACCCCAGGTTGACCATCGCTGCCCGCGTGGAGGCTCTTGAGACCGTTCAGGCTGCTCAGACCGGTGGGCTGAAGCTGCAGCTGAACGTGCAGAAGGCTTACGTGGCCGAAGCCGCTCAGACCACCTCAAACATCCGTGTTGAGATGTCGGAACAAGTTCGCCTTCTTCGGGAGAACGTGAAGAAGCTTGACGAAAAGCTGAAGTCGCGCCGCGCGTCGTCGTCGGCGAGGCATCACGGCTAGAGGACTCAGGCTGCACGTAGGCTTTCAAGCGCCCAAAGTAGAACGTTGAGTGGAGTCTCATGTCGGAAGGTTGTTCCAACGTGTATGCACTGCCGTGTCGTTCAGCCACCGTGAACGGGCCGATGAAGCGCGGAGCAAGCTTGCTTGTTCCGAGTCCGGAAACCGTATATGTAGGCAGGTTTTGAGTAGCTAGCAAAACCAATGAACCAACTTTGAATTCATTTGTGTTACCCCTGCCCACATTGTCTGCGTTCAGTTTCTGCCTATCCGCAGAAGCTGGAATTGCATCTTGTATAAACCGAATGACAGCTTGTTGTTCCTGGCCAAAGTCCATTGCTTGAGAGCTGAACCCCGGGTCCAGATCATTGACATTGTCCGTGTCTGTGCCCTGCACAGAGCCGCCACTTGTGTTCGCATCAGTCCCAGACTATGCCTGGCTCTTTGTGGTGTCAGCGCCCGGCACTGACACTTTGTGTGTGATCGCAGCAGGCCCAGCCTGTGCGTGAAGCTTCTCAGTATCGATGCCCGGCATCGATACAGCACTTGTGCGTGCAACAGGCCCGGCCTGTGCGTGAGTCTACAAGGTGTCTGTGCCCCGCACATACATGTTGTCCTTGGACGAAACAGGTGTCGCCTGCTCGTGGTTCTTCACAGTGTCACTGCCCGGCACTGACACGTCGCCTTGTCGTGTGCGGGCTCTCGCTCTCGCTCGTGTCATCGCAGCTGATAGATCGATATCAGCTGTATTCTGCGATTATTCGGGCGCAACCGTAGACACTTAAGGAAGAAGCCACCGCCCGAGTGTGCTCGGAAGGCGTGGATGCCGCATGGCATTCACGAAGAACGGTGTATGCCCAGTCGAGGCATGCACCGCGTTGTTGATGGTGAACTCGGCCATCGGCAAGTAGTCGCTCCAGTTGTGGAACGACTGGGCGTAGCTCTTCAGCAAGTCCACGAGCACGCGGTTCAAGCGCTCGGTTTGCCTGTCCGTCCGCGGATGATCCGCAGTCGACATTGAGAACTGCGTTCCAAGAAGTGTGAACACTTCTTGCCAGAAACGCGCTGTGAAGCGCAGATCGCGGTCCGACACAAAGTCGTTGGGCATGCCATGATGCTTGAACACCATGTCGACGAATAGACGTGCCATCTGTACGGAGGTCACCTCCGCTGCGACAGCCGCGAGATGCATGATCTTGCTCAAGCGGACAACAAATACCACAATACCGGTCTTCCGCCTGGAATCGCGCGGAAGAGCAAACATGAAGTCCATCGAAACGGACTCTCAACACTCCGACGGAGTCGGCAGTGGTTGCAGAGGAGCCTGCGAGTGAGGTACAGGCTTCACTCGCTGGCAAACATCGCAAATACGTACGTACTTGCGCACCCACTTGTAGTGGTGGTTCCAGTAGAATTCTCTCGTGAGAAGAGAATACGTCTTCTCACGTCCCGGATGTCCTGCCGTGGGAACATCGTGATACTCATACATGATCCTGCTGGGCAGGTCAGGATCATTCGGTACGACAATGCGGTCCGCATTGTCGTCTACAGCGCTGTAAAACAGTAGACCGTCGTGCACACGATACCGGTGTGCACCCGCTCGTAGACGAGGGGCCAACTTCCAACGTGCTTTGTCGGAAGGAGCTGAGAGAAACTCGATCAGCTGCTTCGCGTTTGAGTCATTCACCTCGTCCAACAAGAACGACGACGGTGTATATGTCCGAGCGACGTCAATCTGGTTGACGTCGACTGTCTTGACAGCATAATCCGGTCGTCGCAACAACGCGTCCGCAACATTCAACCTTCCGGGTTTGTATTCGACCCGGAAGTTGTGCTCCGCGAAGAAGGACAACCATCTCGCCATTTGTTGCGAGATGTGCGGAGACTTCAAAGCCGCCCTTAACGACGCGTGGTCCGTATGGACCACGAACGGCGTGTTGTCGAGTAAGTACACTCGGAACTTCGCGAGTGCGTACTTCATGGCAAGGAACTCCTTGCCATGTACCGGATAGTTTCACTCAGCTGGCTTTAGCTGAAGCGACTGGTAGTAGACGACCCGATCACGGCCCTCGTGATCGAGTTGCATTGACGCACATCCGATCGCCAAATCGGCTGCGTCACACACTACATGAAAGGGGCGATCTTGGTCAGCCACAGCCAAGATCGGCGTTTCGGTCAAGCCCAGCTTGACTGCATCGAACGCCTGCTGACATTCAGCAGTCCATTCCCACGCAGCTTCCTTCTTCAGAAGCTGCGATAGAGGGCGAATCTTGCCTGCGTAGTTGTCCACGTACTTGCACAAGTACGTGGCAAGGGCAAGAAACTGCCGCAGTTCCTTCACGTTGGATGGCGTAGGCCATTCATTGATCACTCTGACCTTCTCGGGGTCAGGGCGTACGCCATTCTTTCCAACGAGACACCCTAGCACGGGTATGTCGCTCGCACCGAAGATGCACTTCTTCAGGTTCGCATAGAGCTTGTGCTTGAGCATGAGCCCAAGCAGTTCCCGGAGATGCTCCTTGTGCATCTCGACGTCCGTCTTCTCCTCCACAGCCCGGCTGTGAACGTACACATCGTCGAAGTAGCTCGGTGCGAAGTCGCGCACCGAACGCAATAGATGCGTCACGCATCTATTGAACGTCGCAGGGGTGTTCTTCTGTCCTTGCGGCATAACCACCCACTCCCAAAGCATACCGCTTGGAGTGTTTACCGCCGTGAGAGGGATATCGCTCTCACGCATAAGGATCTGATAGAACCCGTCTCTCAGATCAAGAGCACTGTAGATGGTGCTCTTGGACATCGAATCGATGATGACATCTTTTCGAGGTATCGGCGTCTGTGCCGGTATCGTCGCATCATTCAGCTTATTGTACACATGAACGATGCGCCAATCACTCTGTGGCTTCTTGATGCGCTGTGCGGGGACTTCGATTCCCGCACTTGTCCTGCCTTGCGACGACTTTCGAAGAAGTCGTCGATTGCCTTCACTTGCTCCCGCGGCAGTGGCCACTGCCGCGTCACGCAATACTTCGTCCCCGGCACGAGATCAACCTCGTGCTGTATTCCCTTGTCCGGCAGAAGCTCCGCAGGGATCTCGTCCGGGAGCACGTCTCTGTGATCTCGCAGAATCTCGTAATAGGGCCTCGACTTCAGTGAGTCCCAACTCTGCTCGTCGAAGAGTTCCTTCTTCTTCTTGGCACTGAGAGTATCTTCACTCTCAGTGGCGCTTTTAGCGAAGAGTTATCGCTTGTCATTCTTTCGCGGTCCGAAAGAATGTATAGCTGTTCGATGCGTCCATCGTACAGGTCCTTTGCGAAGCGCTTCCAGCTCATGACTGGAAGCGACGTCGACTCCGACGTATCAGTCGGAAGGTTCACCAGCTCCATCTTCTTCTACTGGTATCCAGCACAGGCATGCGTCAAGACATTCAACGTCTCGACGGCCACTGTCGGCTCTTATGTCTGCCCGGCAGACATACTTTGAAGAGTCTCGATCCCGGACCGAGACTTGCGCACCTTTTGTGCTTGCGCCGTCGCTTCTTCTTGTGAATCCCGGATTCACTTCCGTTTCGTCTAGGCCCGGTCATGAACGAATGTTACTTGATACCACCGGCAGACATTTCAGTCTGCGGGCAATCGCCGGCGGGTTCGTGTACCCGCGGGCACGCATCATCAAGCTTGGCTTGATCTCGCCCTGCTTCGTGCAGCCCGGCTGCACGACAGCACGCAAGCTTCAATGCTGGACGATTGCAACCGTCCACACAGCTTGTCGCATCGACTCCCGAAGTCGATGCATGGTCGTCACCTCTACGCCTCACGGCGGAGCCGTGTGTCGCAACTCCCGGAGTTGACACACAGTTGTCACCTCGACGCCTCACGGCGGAGAACTTTCTCAATTCCGATATCGAGTGCATGTCAACTCCCGGAGTCGACACGCTGTTGTCACCTCGATGCCTTACGGCGGATAATTTCTTCGTTGTGTCTGGTCCCTGACCAGACGCTCTTTTACTGTCAACGACTCCTGGAGTCGTTACAGCCCGCACGCTCCACGGGCTACGACCGGAGACAGCGGCGCGAGCCACTGTCTCTGAAGGGGGGTCGGATGCACCGTTAGATGTATCCGCTGCGCTAACAGGGCCATGGGCTCTCTGTTGCGCCGCGGCGTCCGAAGCGTACGACCGTACGCTTC